GAAGGCCAGCCCATCCTTCCAGCTTGAGGTGAAGTTGGTGACGTTCACATGGGGATACCTGCGATGGGGACAGGGTGTCGCTGTCACTCTCTGGACAGTCACAGACCCTGACGCGGTCACATGGGGGTCCCACCACCTACCCTGCTGTCTTCATCTGGCACCAGAGCAGCAGTGCATCCCTGGCAGAGCGTGTCTCCCGGCCCTCCTGCGTCTCCACAATGATGTCCTGGATCTGGGGGCCAAAGGACATTCTAGGGTTGGAACAGCAGTTCCATGGAGGATGGCTCCCACCTGGGAATGAGGTGTGAAGCAGAGGAATGCCCCGAACCACCTGTCCTCACCTGGAAGCGGAGGATGATGGTCCAGATGAGGCCAAGGACGAGGCGGTGGTTGCCATCCACGATATCGTGGGAGCCCATGTTCTCCAGGTGCACCCGCTGCTCCTTCAGGAACTGCAGCGCCTTGTCCACATTCTCCAGGCAGTGGATCCGCATCCGGCCCTTGGTGGGCTTGGGCTGGGGCATGACAGTGCTTAGCACCCTCCCTCCCACACTGGGTACCCCAAGCCCTGCCCAGAGACACCCCCATCCCCATGCTGCCACCCCACCCCTTGGCCAGCGCCAGGAGAAATGGTGTGGTGTGCCATGGCAGGCCACAGGTCCCAGGGTCTCCAGCTGGATGGGATTCCTACCAGAAGCTCTCCTGACAGCACTTCCAGCAGCTTGATGAGCACCCGCCCGTCCCGGAGGTCCATGTAGAGGTCTGAGATGCGGCAGGTGACACGAGCCAGGTGCGAGTTCACCCACTTGGTGAAGGTTTTCTTCTGCACGGCCTCCCGCTCATCTGGAGGGACAGCGGGCACGCGGTCACCGACAGTGGGGACAACCCAGGTGGCACCGAGGGGACCTGCCACCCACCTGCCAGGGCTTTGATGCGGGAGCGCTCGAAGAGCCGTGCGGAGCTGTTGTCGTTGTCCAGCTCATCGTCGGACGCGTCCCAGCGGACATTGATGCGGCTGTACTGCTGCTGCAGCTCCAGCTGCTCGTAGTCATTGGCCGAGGTCATGGTCCCAGTGTGCCCCGGCCCGGTGGCCGTCGGCTACCGGTGAGAGGCCCCTGGGGGACAGCGGGACCGTGAGCATCAGTGCGGACACGGTGGCTCAGTGGCCCTGCGGCACGTGGGGATTTGCGGCTCAGAGCCGCGGGATAAGCTGCTCAGAGGGATTTAGCCTCGCCCCACCCAGGTGTTGGGGGGGCACCTGGCAGCTGCCCTCTCCAGGACCACCGTGCTGAGCCCTGCCGAGCTGTGCTAATGGCTATTTACGGTGCTGCATCCCCTCACAGGGCCCTCTGCCCGGCTGAAACCCCAGCCCAGGTCCCCAGAGGTGTCTTCCCAATCCTTGGATGCCCCCAGGGAAGGGGCTGCTGCTCACCTCCACCCCGACCCCTGCACTGAACAGGGGCTTTGCCAGCACCGGTAGCAGAAAGTGGGTGACAGCTGCCGGCAGGGGGGGGCACCCACCCCCGGGGACATTTGAGACACAGATAGGACATGGCTGGTATCTAAAAATGCCTCTGAGCAGCTGTCGGTGGCTGCTGGGGCCCCCTGAGGGGTGCAAGGAGATGGGCTGGGGCTCCCCGCAACCAGCAGCATGTCCAGGACCTCTCCTGCAACCCAGAGCTGCACAGAGCCCTCAGTAGTGGGTGCCAGGGGGAACCCCGTGTGCCCCAAATCCCTGCTGTCCCCGTGAGCTGTGACAACCCATGGGCCCCCAGGTCCCCCTCGGATGCCCCGGGCATCCCCCATGTCCCCCCTGACAGGGTTATCGGGGTGGCCCAGGCTGTGCCACACCCCAGCTCTGCACCCTAATCGGGGCAGCACAGGCAGGGCCTTGGCTTGGACCTGGAGGCACCAGGAGCATGAAAGGACGTGGAGGAGCATGCAGGAGTGTGGGCAGCACAGCAAGGACACTCAGGAGCACACCAGAGTGTACAAATGTGAGGAAGGGCATGGAGAAGGGTGGCAGAGTGTGTCCCGGTGAGCCAGGACATGCAGGGACTTGTCACAGCATCCACACATGAACGAGGACATGCAGAAGTGTGACAGAGTGCTCCTGTGAGCAAGGACACACAGGGACCTGCCAGAGTGTGCACAGGTGAACGAGGACAAGTAGAAATGTGCCAGAGTTTGTATGCCTGAGCAAGGACATGCAGGAACACACCGGAGCGTGCATGGGACACACACGACAGGCACTTGTGTGGCTGCAGGGCCATGCAGGTGTGTACCAGAGCAGGCAGGAGCGTGCTGGAGCTGGGCCTTTGTGCCTCTGCCAGAGCACCCAGCTCGCCCTGGCAGGAAAGCCCTCTGGGAGACCAAGTTTGGGGATTTTGCCCCCAAAGCTTCAGGGACTGCCAGCAGTTTGGGTGTGCTAAGTTGTGTCGAGACTCTGCAGGATACCTCAGTTCTGACTATGTCCCCGACAACACGGCAGCGGGGCCATGGCTCCAAGCATCCAAGGAGGAGAAAGAGGAGGAAGAGGAGGAGGAGGAGGAGGAGGAGGAGGAGGAGATGACGCCGAAGGGAGCCACAGCAGGCCCATGGGAGCATTCCCAGCGCGGGCGCTACCCACCCTTTAAATCTCCCTCCGCCACACCGGCGCCTTCCGAGCATCCCTCCCTGCCACAGCCACGCCGCCACCAGCACCCGCCACCCGGGAATTGTCATTCCTGCCGCTCAGCGTGCGGAAAGCTGGGAATGCCAGCATGCCGGCCTCGCCGCCAGCATCCTGCGGCCATGGCCCGGGCAGCGTCGCCTTCCCCGGCCAGCGGCTCGCCTCGGTGAATCAGCACTTCCCGGTGAGGGGCTGGCACCGTGCCACCACCACGGTCCCCCCGCCAGGCATAGGGAATGTCCCCCCACACCCCAAGGGTGGCCGGGGCAGTGGTTGGCACCTGGCACTTATGGCACCCTCAAACCCGTTCCCTGGCTCATCCCTCACAGCCACAGCACGCTGCCAGCAAGCCCATTTCCAATGCACAGAAACTCATCAGAATCGCCCAAAACACCCCAAAATTCTGCCCCATCACTGCCACCCAGAGCCTGGCATGTCCCCATTGCTCCACTTCACCAAAACACTTGGATTTGGCATCTCCCCCATGTCCACAAGCAGCCGTGCTCTGGTTGGGAAGGGGCAGGAGCCGGGGGGCATCCCCCAGCCCCCCAACAGTCTCTTGCCTGCCAGGGCCGGGAGCAGATGGTCCCTCTCGGCACGGCGGCGCGGCACAGCACGGGGCACTTGGGCATGGAAAGGCAGAGCACAGCTCCTCCGGCAGCGCTGCCCTGCCCCGGCCAGGGCTCCCCAGCCACACTCCCACCCGCCTGGAGAATTTGGGCTTCCCCAGGGCCACATGCCGGCCGTGCCAGGACTGTCCCATGTCACCCAAGCCGGTGACACGCACACGTGCTGACACTCCACAGACATTTTTGGCTATAAATAGGTCTCCCCTGCGCACGGCGCTAGCTGAGCCCCGCTCCCTTCTTAGGGGCTGCCCCCCCCTGCACCCCAAAATCACCAGGCAGTGCCCCAAATACACATGATAGCTATAAAATACTCCGTGGGGGGCCATGCTGGCGCCCAGCAAGGTTTTCTGAGTCTCCTGTGCTTGCCACCGTCTTCTAGGGCACCCCAATCCCCTGGTTTGGGAGCTGGAGATTTATAAAGGGAAAAGCTGGGAAATCAGGCCTGGGGGACCCCTAGGTTATTGGGGTGAGGGTAAGAATTCCCCCACCCCAACACCCACCCATGAGCATCCTCCTGGCACCGGGACAAGGGGGACCAAGGGCACGGCACCCCAAAAAGCCTTCCAAGTAACCCTCCAGTCCGCCCAGTTGCTAAAAACTGGGGGACGAAGTGGGTTGGGTGATGTGTCCCACCAAGACCCTCAGGACTCGGCTTTTCCACCGCGTCCCAACAGTGCTGGGAGCACCAAGGACTAGTGTGGGGAGCCCTCCAGGGGTTGCACCCCAGGAAAAGTGTCCCCAGGGTGTCCCCACACTGTCCCCGGGCTGTCCACAGGGTGTCCCTAGAAAGTCACCGCCACTCGCCCGCCCCGTCCTTCCCGAGAGCAGCCCCGAGGGACACGGGGTGACAGCAGACCCCCCGCGGCGGGCGAAAAGGGGGTTCAGGCTCCCCGGAGGGCTCTTCACCCTCGCCACCAAACTTTCCTCCGTGCCCACCTTCCCCCCTCGCCCGGTACCGCGCCCGGTGTTCGGTGCCGCACCCCCCACCCGGTATCCCCGGGGCGGGCAGCGCCTGTCGGTGCCCCCCCCGCCGCGTGTCCCCGGGGACCGGCGCTTCCCGCTGTGCCCCGGTCCCTCCCGTGCTCCCCGGAGCGGCGCATCCCGGTGCCGCGGGGTCTCACCTGCGCGGGGCGGCGGGCGGGCGAGCGGCGGCGGCGGCGGCGGGGCCGGTGCGGGAGCGGGGCGGGGGGAGCGGAGCCGCCCTGCACCGCGATATAAATAACATTATCTGGGCGCGCAGGGACATTCCTACCCGGAGCCGGCGGCGCTGCCCGGCCCCGATAGCCCCGCTCCCCCCGGGAGGGCCGGGCCGAGCCGACCGGGCGGGCGGGGACGGGGATGGGCGCAGGGACGGGGACGGGGACGGGCCGCCCGCCCCGCAATGCAGCACAGCGGCGCCCCCCGGCCGCCAGCGCCACCGGCACCGGCAGCGGCACCGACACCGGCAGCACCGGCATCGGCAGCACCATTGGCGGCAGCACCGTTGGCGGCGGCACCGGCGGCACCGGCACCTGCAGGCTGCGGAGAGGCGCAGCGCCCCGCCGACAGCGGCGGGGGTCCCCGGCCATCCCCCCCGGCCAGCCCACGTGTCCCCCGCTAGCCCTGGATGCCCCCCAGCTAGTCCCAGGCATCCCTCAGCTAGCCCTAGGTGTCCTCCGCTAGCCCTGCGAGCTCCCCGACTCGTCCCGGGCACCCCCTAACAGACCTCTGTGTACCCCAGCTCGTCCCAGGCACCCCCTGATTTGTCCTGCCTGACCCCCACCAGCCCTGGGTGTCCCCCAGCTAGTCCGTGGAGTCATCCATCTAAGCCAGGCAGTCCCCAGCTAGCCCGGGATGATGCCCAGCTGGCCCAAGCCGCCCTACAGTCAGCCCTGGGTGTCCCCCGCTATCCCTGGATGCCCCCCAGCAGTCACGGGCACCCCGCACTTGGCCCTGGGTGTTTCCCACTAGTCCAGAGTGTCCCCCAGCCAATTTCCAGCACCCCACAGTTGGCTCTGAATGTCCCCCAGCTTGTCCTGGGTGTCCCCCACTAGCCCTGGATGCCCCCTAGGTACTTCCCGGGGTATCCCACCAGCCCTGGGTATCTCACTGCTAATCCCAGGCAGCTCCCAGCTAGCCCTAGGTGCCCTTCGCTAGCCGCGGATGCTCCCCAGGTCACTCTAGGTGTCCCCCACCAGCCTGGGGTGCACTCAGGTAGCTCCAGGTGTCCCCCCTAGCCCTGGGTCCCCCCCTAGCCCAGACCCCCCCAGTTATTCCTGGTTGCCCCAAGCAGCCCCACGGCCCCTTAGGCCCCGCCCATTTTCTCAAACCACGCCCATTGCTCCTCAGGCCACGCCCACACCCAGCGCCTCGGCCCCGGCCCTGTCACTTGAGCCCCGCCCCTCGGCGCAGGTCTCGCGACATTTGCGGGGAGGGCCGTGCGAGATGTGCGGCGGCTGTGTGGGCACCGAGTACCCGGAGCGGGTGAGGGCGGCCGCGGGGGGCACCGCCACCGGTCCCGGTCCCGGTCCCTGTCCCTGTCCTAGCCTGTGCTCCCGCCCTAGGGCACCACCTGCCTGGAGGGCGGATCTTTCCTCCTGAACTTCGTGGGGTGCGCGCAGTGCGGCCGCCGGGACTTCGTGCTGGTCAGCAACCGGGCGGAGGAGCTGGACGGCGGGGAGGAGATCGTCACCTATGACCGTGCGGTGGGGGGACCGGGGGGTGAGGGGCCATGTAGAGGTCTGAGATAGCCTTTGGGGTCTGGGGCTTGGGGTTCGTGGGGGTCGGGGGAGCTGAGGGGACCTGTGGGGTGTGGGGCTCTTGAGGGCGACATTTGGGGGATCCTTGAGCCATCCCTGGGGCTCAGGGATCGCTGAAGGTTGGGGGTCTTGAGGGCTGGGGGGGTCCTGTGTCTGGGGGTGTTGAGTATTGGGGGAGACCTTGGGTCTTGGGGGTCTTGAGGGATGCTGAAGACTCTGGGGGAGCTTTGGAGTCTGGAGCTTGGGCGATCTTGAGGGTTAGAGTGAGCTTTGGGGATCTTTGGGATCTGGGGAAGGCTGGGGGGCACAGGTAGAGGCCTGGGGGTAGCATTTGGATTCTGGGGCATCTTGAGGGCTGGGAGGGACTCCTGGGGGGTGGGGGCTCTCAAGGGCTGGGGCGTGACATGAAAGCAGGGGGAGGCCTAAGGGAGGATTATTTTGAGTAGGGAAAATTTGGGGCCCTGATATTTGGGGAGTCCCTGAGGGTGGGAAGGGTGGATGCCCGGAGGGGGTCTCAGGTTTTAGAGGCAGTATCAGAGAGCTGCCAATGGCATTAAGGGGGGTGAGCTGCTGTGTGGGGAATTTTGGGGGCTTGATGTTTTGGGGACTGGGACGTTTATGCCCTGGGCGTGAAGGCAGGCACAGAGGATTGGGGCTTGTCCCAAGAGATTGGGAGTGGGGGGATACCCCAGGGACGGTGTGCATGTCCTCTCACCCCACTGTCCCCTGTCCCACAGACCTGTGTAAGAACTGCCACCACCTGATCGCACGCCACGAGTACACCTTCAGCGTGGTGGATGACTACCAGGTTTGTCTCTTGTCCCCTAAAAGCCCTTCCCAATTCTGTCTCTGGAATTCCAGACCCACCCTTCCACGGGCTGATTCCCAGCTTCCCTGGGACAGAGCCTCGAAGGATGCAGAGCCCCATTCCTGTGTTTAGGGCTACCTGGAGTCCCCCCAGTACTAGTCCGTGCCTTGTGGGGGAAGCCCAGCTCACCTGGCATGGGAATGTGGGTGATGGGAGGGGGCTGTGACCCCCATTCCTCATTCCTGGCACATCTCCTAGGCAGCAAAGGGCTGGAAAAAGGGCTCAGGGGAGCCGGTATGGCTGGAAATGAGATCCCCTGGCTCTGATTGCAATCAGGGATCAGGTACCGGATCTGGCTCGAGTTTCCCTGTGGGGGAGCAGGGCTGTGGCAGCCCCCCTTTTTCCAGCCCCCCCTTTTCCTTCCCCCAGGAATATACCATGCTGTGCCTGCTCTGTGGCCGTGCTGAGGATTCTGTCAGCATCCTGCCTGACGACCCTCGCCAGATGACCCCGCTGTTCTGATCCCCATGTGTATCCCAGGATGAGCTTCCGGGAGCTCTGGGAGATCCCTGGATCCCTGGCACTGTAATTTCTGGGGACCACACAGTCCCTGACATGATTTGCCCCTCCAAACTTCCAGCTTGGATGCAGCGAACACCCAACAGCGGATGCTCCTGTGTTTCTGGAGCCTTTTGGCTCTGACCCTGACTGCAAGGATGGGATGCGGTGCCATGGCCCAAGCCCCTCATGTACCGAAGACATAAAGGGGTCCCCAAAACAGGATCCAAAAGGATTCTCACACCATCCCACCTCAGGAGCCCTCGTATGTGGGGTAATAAATGTGACGTGTGACAGCTTGGTGACACAGGCAGGAGTATTTCAGGAGTGGGCGTCACCCCCTGGGGTGGTGAAGGGGGTTGGGGGTTGATGCAGAAAACTTTTTCCATCCCAGGAGCCTGTGGAATTCCTCCTTGGCCCTTCCCAGCACTGGAGAGTCCACTGCACTCTCCCAGTGCTCTCCTAGACCCTGCAGAGAAAGGACTTGGATCATTTTCCCTTCCCATGGAGTTGGTTTGGGGTCACTTCCGCCTGCCCTGGGGTTTGGAACCTGGCCCTGCTCTGCTGGGAATTCCATATTCCTGAGGCGGGAAGGAGCTGGGTGTGGGAAATCACTGCCCTGGAGTGGGTGAAATGTTGCTCTTGGCACCCAGCCCTAGCAACACCCATGGGGAACTGGGTGCAGCCGGCCTGGCACCCACCTATCCCCGAGCCTCCATTTCCTGGATCTGGCCTATCAGGGCTGTGTCCTCCTTCCTGTTCCCGCCAAGAGCTCCCCAAAACCACATGGGTATGGGTATGTTTCTGAAAACCTGATGGATCCATTTACACTCCCAAAAACCACGTGGATCCAGGCATGCTCCCTGCGGCTCATTTATTGCCACCAGCCCACGCCGCCCCGGCAGCTCCAACCCTCTGCCCCCATCAAGCCCCCTCCCCATGGAGGTTTCAGAGGGAGCTGTCATTCTGCGGAGAGCTGGGGCCATCCCAGGGTGACACCGGAGCCAGGATCACACCGGAGCCAGGATCACACTGGAGCTAGGATTACTTGGCCAGCTTGAGGAGACGCTGGATGTCGGGCTCCAGCTGGGCCGTGGGCAAGCGTGGGCTGTAGCGCCGGAACGGTTCCCCCTCAGGCCCCACCAGGAACTTCTCGAAATTCCAGGAGATATCGGAGCGCCGCACAGGGCTCCAGACGACAAAGCGGGGCTCGGCCATCAGGTGTGCAGGCTCGTCGGCCGGTGCAGGCAGGTGAGCCTTGAGGTAGGCGAACACGGGATGGGTGTCACTCCCGTTCACCTGGCACTTCTGGAACAGGGTGAAGTTGGGCTCGAAGCCACCCCCAGGCCGCACGTGCTTCAGGGTGTTGAGGATCTCCTCATTGGTGCCGTTCTCCTGTGGCAGGGAAGGAGAAATCCACAGCCCTGTGTTTCCCAGCTCCTCACCCCCTGCCTCGTTTCCCATAGGACTTACCTGGTATCCAAACTGGTTACAGGGGAAGCCCAGCACGACCAGCCGCCGGGGGTAGCGGGCTTGGAGCTGGTTGAGCTGGGTGTAATCCCGCACCGTGGTGCCTCAGAGCGAAGCCACGTTCTCGATCAGGACCACGCGGCCCCGGAAAACACCAAAATCCACCTTTTCCCCCTGCAAGGAGGTGGCGCTCAGGTCATAGAAGGACTTGGCGATGGGGACGGTCATGGCTGCAGGTGTGCGGCTGCTTGTGCCCCGTGCCCTGCGCCGCCTCTTAAGGGCTTCCCGGCGCTCACGTCATGGTCCAAAGGTCTCCAGGCCCCGCCGCGGCTCAGGAGAAACCTGAGCCGCCCGTCCCACCCGTGGAAGGAGGAAGGTGGCACGGGGCCAAGGCGATGCTCTACCTGCCTCAATAATTCATGGCACGGTGCGCTGCGGCTGCTCATCCTAGTGCCTGCGGGATGTGGGATGCTCCCAGCCTGGCACGGCATGTTCCCGAGGGTTGGGAATGATGGTGAGAGTTGGGGAATAACGAGAGTCAGGGAATAACAGGAATCTAGGAGCTGGGGCTCTGTGGGGCAGAGGAGGATGGGACAAGTGTCCCAGTATTCCTCCTTGCCGGGTGCTGCCATGGCATCACCTCTGGGTCCTCCTGTGCTGCCCATCCCAGTCCCCACCAGTCCTGCAGCCCACTGGTCTCAGTACCAGCTCCATCCTTGGGCCTATCTGCTGTGGTGCCCACCATTGTCATGTGGTGCCCATCCCCGTGCCTGGCAGCATCCTGGTGTCCACCTAGATCCCTGTAGGTTCCACTATCTTAGTGCCCACCATCATCCCAGTAACCACGCATCCCAGCCCCCCACCATCCCGCTGCTGGCTCATCCCAGTGCCGCCACCAAGTTTTCGTGCCTGTTCCCACAGCTGGGGCTGAGCTGGTAGCCTGGCAGGCTGTGGTGGTGGCCATGGCACTCCATGAGCACCATGCCCCATGTCCCTGTGCCCAGCCTGGAAAGGGGACACCATGCTGGCAGCCCCAGATCACCCTCAATTATTGATCACCGCTCGGGTGTCCATGCCCAGGCTGTGCCTGCCACCATGGCGTCATGCCCACAGCCCCCCTGGAGCACACAGACCACCAGCCCCTCCAGCATGACCTTTATTCTGCAAACCACTGTGTAAAACCGGGGGTCCCACGGGCACGGGGTGGCACAGGGTGGGCACACAGTGCCTGGACAGCCCCCACCCTACCCGCAAGCCGAGGAGGGCACAGGTGCCAGGATGGGGGGGCCCTCCTTGCCACGTTCCCTGTCCCTGGGGGTGTCCCGTGTTGTCCCCCCACTCTATGGGGGCTGCCTCAGTCCTGCCCCTACCATGCCCCCTGACGCAGCCTGGGCAGGAGGGGTCGGGGGGTCCCAGCCTTCAACACCAGCAGGTTTTGGGGGTGTCTTCGCTCCCCAGGGGCTGCTGCTCGTCCTCCTCCAGCCGGACCAGTGTGGGGGCGTGGGGCAGCCCCCGCAGCTCGTCCAGCTCCTTGCGGTGCGCCTGCAGCACCAGCTCCGTCAGCCGTGTGAAGGACTGTGGGAGAGGGGTGGGGTGAACCTGGGGGACCCCTCCAGTACCCCCTGACCTCTCCAGGCCCCCCAGGCCAGCCACAACCCCCTCAGAACCCCCCCACCCCAGTTTCCTCATACCTCCTTGATGTTGAGGTTGCTGCAGGCACTGGTCTCGTAGAAATCCATCCCGTATTCCCTGGCCAGCTGCGGCACCAGGGGTTTGGCGGGGAGGGGGGTAGCATGATTTGGGGGGAGGGGGGATTCAATACCCCTGCCCCCCCCCTCTGGAATGTGAACAGCCGGGCACCGACAGACAGGAGAGCTGTGGGGGGGGGCTGGCATAGGGGCACACCTGGGGTTGGGTGGTGGGTGCAGGGGGCCCTGGGAGGGATGCTGGATGCTTTGGGGTCCAGAGGTCTCTGGGAGGGATACTGGGAGGGGCTGGGGGTTGTTGGATGCCTTGGGGTAGCACTGGGTAGTAAAGGGTTTTCCTGGATGCTCTGGAGCTGCAGGGGGAGGTCAGTGGTCCCTGGGTTCAGACTGCAGGAGCATGGGGGGGTCACTGGATACAGGTAGGGATGTCTGGGGGTCCTTGGATATGGATAGGGCTGCAGGAAGGCTATTGGGGTCCATATGGAATGCAGGGCAGCCTTGTGGAGAGTCTGGCCATGCTGGGGTTGTAGGGAGGTGCACTGGGTGCTTTGGGGGTACAGGAGACCGTGCTGGGGGTGCAGGGAGAGGTTAGGGGATCTCTGAACATCTTGCAAGTGGGGAAGAGGGAGCCAGGGGGGTGCACAACCACTGCAGGGATGGAGGGGAAGAGGGTTCCCGGACACTGGGGGAGCTGGTGTTGGGGTGCCTGGGTACAGACTGCAAGAGGGTGGGGGGTCCCTGTCACGTTGGGAGGGACTGGGGAGGCTTGGGGGTCCTGGATAGAGGTAGGGCTGCAGGAGGGCTGTCAGGGTCCTGAGTGCAGGGGGGGCTCAGGGAGAGGCTGACCATGCTGGGGGTGCAGGAGGGGTCCTGCCCCCTGGGGGGGGGCACACAGCAGCCCCCGCTCACCTGCAGCCCTTGCTCTTTGGGCACTTGCCTCTTGTGCTCCTTGTCCGCCTTGTTCCCGATGAGGATTTTCTGGACGCCATCGGGTGCGTACTGGGTGGGGGAACAGTGTAAGGACCCCCCACCCCCACACGGCTGGGGAACCTCCAGACCTCCCCTCGTGAACCCCCACCTCATCCACGTCGCTGGCCCACTTCACGATGTGCTGGTAGGAGCGCTCGCTGCTGATGTCGTACACCAGGAAAATGCCCTGCAGGGGGTGGGGGGCGGCTGTTGACACCCCAAAACTGTGCCTCAGTTTCCCCTCTCCTGTGTACCAGGACAGCGAGCCCCCATACCTGTGCTCGCCGGTAGTACTGCTTGGTGATGGTCTGGTACCGCTCCTGGCCGGCTGTGTCCCTGCCCGGGGACAGCGGGTCAGTGCCACCACTCATGGCATGAGTTTGGCAGGGCTCAGCCCTTACCTTGGGTGGGGGGAGCAGGACTCAGGCCCCCCAAAATTTCTTCCCTCTTCCGCCTGGGATCCAGTGCTGCCACTCACCAGATCTGTATCCGCACCTTGATCCCATCCACCTCGATGGTCTTCATCTTGAAGTCGACACCTGGGATTGGAATGGGGTGGGGTGTCCTGGTGTTTCCCTTTGCAGCAGCTGCTGTCACTGGGGGCCCTCTGGTCCCCTCACCCCTCCTGACCCACCCCACGCCCCACCACGGCCTGGTGCTGCTCCCCACACCCAGTGCCTGGCCTTGCAGGAGGCCCTGTGCCAGGTCTGATCCTGGTGCTCCCAGTTCCCTGGTGCTGCGGCTGTCCAATCCTCCCAGTTCCCCAGTGCTACGGCTTCTCGGTGCTGTGGCTGCCCAATGCTCTCTCAGTTCCCGGCTGCATGCTGCTCCCGGTTCCCCTGTGCCAGAGGTGCCTGGTCCTCCCCGTTCTCCCATATCCAGGATTTCCTGGCTCCCTGATGCTCTCGGTTTCCCAGCTTCCTTATGCTTCGGCTTCCCGGTGGTCCCGGCTTGTGGATGCCCACAGTTTTACTGTTTCCCGATGCTCATGGCTTCCCGGTTCCCCGGTGCTGTGACTCCCGATGCTCCTGGTTCCCCGGTGCCCACAGTTTTCCCTCTCCCCGGTGCCCGGTTTTCCCGCTCTCTGGTTACCTGTTTCCCCATGTTCCTAGTGTTGCAGCTCTCCAGTGCCCACGGTTAACCCTTTCCCC